AAGGCAGAGGGATCAGTATGGTGGGGAACAGCAAACTGAGCAGACGGAATTTATTGTGAAATAGTCAGTGTTATTGGGACACCTATTTTGTGTGATAAATGGTATGCTGCGATCCAGGCTTGTTGCAAAGCAGCCGCCCTAACTCTGCTCTGCTGCTGTCGCAACACGGGTATTTTTAGACTGATTCCCATTTATACCCGTCAGTACACGCGGCCCTCACAGACGGTTACTGAAATTAAACCTGAAGTTGGATGGGAATATAGGCACTGACCTTGTCAGCACACACCACAATCACAGCTCGCTTCAGATGCACACGTGCAGCGTGGAGCTGCACTTTTCCATATGTGCAGATCTGCTGATTTGTGGAGGAGCTTTGCCAAGCAGCACCAACCCAAGAACCAGCACCAACCCAAGAACCAGCACCCCGTGCCTTGTTACTCCTCCTTCCACGTTACCTTTGGATGAAGTGTGGCCATTGGTGGAACCCAACCCCTGCATGCACCGTTGGGGGCCCTGCCGAGCGTCCCTTCTGCAGGAGAGCCGTGCAGGATGTTTTTGTGCAGGCAGGCTTCCTGGCACACCCAGACGTGTGTCTGTGTGCGTGGGGGGACACACGGCGTTCGTCCCTGAGTGCTCTGCAGTGCTGCATGCAGGGACGTGCCCCTGCTCGCCAACGTGATCTGCACGGCGTTGCACTGCCGGGCTCTGCTGGGAGAGCGCTGCTGCGTGCAGAGGGATGGGGCTTGTTGGGTTGGGTGCAGAGGGATTGGGCTTCTGGACCTGTGGAGCCTTAATTAAACTTATCCTCAGCTGTTGCTTGGTAATGAGTTAATTGTTCATTAGGAGGTCGTTACCAGACTGGGGAAGGCTTTGCAAAGCTGCTGCTGCTCTCTCCTTCATTGCCCTGAGCTGGCGTTGGGCTGAAGCCTAGCTTGTGTTCTGCTGGCTGGGACAGCAACAGCTCGCTGCGTTTAGGTGCTCTTCCATCAAAGAATTTTCCATCTGGCTGTACCCTGCTAGTGCAGTCTGACTGCAGAGAGTTCCCAGTAATCTTTCCCCTTCTGATGGAGGATGCCAGTGGGTAGATTTAAATCCGTACCCACTGCAGTTAGATGGGTTGGACTGAAATGAGAGCACTTCTATGCAGATTAATCTTTTTCAGAGTGTGGGGTGATGCTGAACCTAGTGAGGCCCCATGTCCCTTCTTTAGCATCTGATCTGCCCAACATAGCGCATCGGTAGAAGTTTCCTTGCACTTTTGCTGTGTAGGAACAGTGAGATGGGGATATACAACAGATTTATTTCTAAAGGAGCTGAGATTTTCATGCTTTTCACACATACCCCTCTCACTCAAGGCATGTACATAATTTTACTCCAAACTGACAAGGTTACATGCGCTCTCTATTAAGTAACATACATCAGTCTGTTTTCAAGAAAGGGCACTTCTAATACTCTGCCAGCAGAAATGTGTTGTGCGATGATGCATACACCAGCTGGCATTATTTTCCTTCTAAGAGCATGTCTTTGAAGATATTTAAACAGCAAACTCTGCATGAAGGACAGATGTTGAAAATAGACTCCCACCAACTTGAGGTCAGAGCTAAGGCTCTTGTGTTCTTTTTCAAATGAGAAGATAAACATGTTGGTTTTGTTGGTGTTTTTTTTTTTCTTTTTTCTTTTTTTCTGGGAACTGTAAAATTAAGGGACAGTCTTTATTCACTTGTTTCATAGCTGCTTAGAGCTTGCAAGACATCTAAGTTTTTTCATGAGTGAGACATCCTTGGGTTTTGTCTTGAATGCACCAAGAATTCAGATAGCTAAACACAACTTATAATATTATGGGTATTTCAAAATCTGGAGTTGTACCCAAGAGGGGAAGGCAGCCGTGCTGAAGGTGCAAAAACCATTACACCTTCTCTGTAAGGAAGCAGCCGGATAAGGGGGTAGTGGGGAAGCTGCAAAAACCCTCTTTCATCCTTCCCTGCTTCATGATGAGTCCTGTATCTTTTCTTTATGAAACAGTAGGCTGGGCTTCATCTCCGTGAACTGGAGATGTCTGTAGCAGAGCTTATATTCCTTATTTACTCAGTGGTGGGAAATGTGGTTTTTCTCCTGCAGCAGCCCCTCCAGTGCCATGAGCACTGCTTTCCCCATGTAGGATCCCACAGCTCGTGGTGATGTGAGGTAGCTGGCACTGGTGCAAGCATGGATGTCAATGTGCTGCATGCCCGCTGTCTGTCCTGGTGGTGCTCCCCAGCTTGCTGCATGCAAAAACAACCCTACTTGTTAGCAGCCCAGGCTCTGCCAAAGGGCAGGGAGAGGAGGCAATAAGGCTGTGTCCCATCCCTGGGCAGGGTGCAAATTATCTTCTGGGTCAGCGCAGGCTGATCCCTGTGCTGGTTGGGATAAAACAAAACCCTGCTCATTTGAACTGTTGCACCATGAGCCAGGAGGACTGGGCAAACCCTGCCTGGTTCTGAGTTCACCCCTTGCAGTCTCTGTGACTCACGTCTTGCTCAGACGATCTGCACAACCTGGTGCTTTCTTCGACCCTACATGTAGCTACTGCTCGGGGTGAAATCCATTCGGTTTGAGGAATCAAAGCCTTGTGAGAAGGGCAGAACGAATTGCATGCTGTGGTTATGAGCAGGGCAAAGTGGCTCCTGAATGGTGCTGGTGTTCCTACTTGCTTTTCAGAGCAGCATGTCTGGGCTCTTCTTGCTCTGCTGCTCATTCCCCCTGCTGCACTCCCTCCCTCCTAGCTCTATTTCTACCAATTGGAGGTCTCTTCCCCAGCATCACCCACAGCCTTTGTGCCCATGGACAAGTTTATGTGGGCTGAGGGCAGGTCCAGCTGGGCACCTGCTGCAATTGCAGCATGCACTGAATCATTCAGACTTGCCAGCACTGTGCTGGGGCAGCTTTGGGTGGTGATGTCAGCTCTGCCCTCCTGACCCACCCCCTCCTCCCCCAGGACCTCTGCACCTTGGACTGACAAGTGTGCATCAGAGAGGAGGGGAAGCTGAGTTGCTGTTTTATTGAATTCTCTTTGTCACCGATTCATTATTAAATTATGGTTAGCATCTCATTAGAGAGCCCCAATGGGCATGAGTTCATTAGTGTTTTATTGGTTAGAGCAGTGCTTCATTACATGGGAAACGTATCCCAAAGAGTGTCTGTGCTCGTCAGAGTGCTGCACTAATGAACCTGGGCTGGAGTGGATGTGGCATAGTTCTGATGAGAGTGGCTCAGGTTTGCAGGGGAGCTTCATGCTCGCCTTGGCATCAGGATCAAGGGCCAGATTTATGGGAGCAAATCTGACTGCTCAGCCCTTCGGAGAATTTGCTTTCTTAGCTGCTTCCAGTTCATGCTGGAGTGTTGCCACAAAGGGATTTGGCTGCAGCATGGCCTGGGCAGGATGCTTGCCTCGAGGCGGGCGGGCAAGGGATGAGCCCAGGAAGTGCCTTCACCAGCAGCCCCAGTAGGGTGAGGCACAGGGGAGCCTTCCCCAGCAGCTCCATACCCATTCTGCCCCATACAGCCCGTGCCAGGGTTTGGTAACACCTTTGCTGAATTCTGCTCTGTCTGCTTCGCTTTCCTGGGGCTGTTACTCACCCAAAGCCCAGGCTAAAAATAGTCTCTCTAACCCTGAGCTGTTTTTCAGGGTTGTTGTCTCTTCTGAGCGCAGATTAATTAGCACGGAGGGTCACCCAGAACACCAAACTTTGGCTCCAGCAGCTCGGCAGCATGGCACGGTGCTGCTGATCAATGAGCAGCGAGACCTGTAAGACAGGCTGAGGTGGTGAAGGCTGTGTTCAGTTCTGCAACTCCCCTGCTTGTGAGAGGTGACCCTTGGAAACTGGCTCCGACGGGCTCCTTGCTGAGCGGCTCTGGAGACCTGCTGCTGCACCATGGGAGCAGGGCACAGCCCTGCAAGCGGCTGGCAGGCAGGCAGGGGATGTGGAGTCTGCCTGTAGCCTGAGCTTTGATTTCTGCAGCCCACAGCTGTGGCTTTGGAGTGTATGGGCTCGCCCAGCCTGCCTGCTCTGTGCGCTGGGACAGGCAGAGCTGCATCACCCCGTCAGGTGCTTTTCTGAGTCATCTGCCTCCCTCATCCCCATCAGCCACTTCCAAATGGCTTTGAGGAATTGTATTTTCAGGTCTTTTATCATTGGATCGTAGGTCAGGGCCAGGAGCGTTTGCTGCCTGCTGGCTCTGGCTGCCAGAGCTGATGCATCATGTGGTGCTGGAAATGTCACACAGAGCCTCAGCAGGACCCAAGGCAAGGCTCGGCTGCTGATCCCTTAGCAGCAAGGCTGGCTAATGAACAAACTCATTAAACCCCTCTTCCTTGAGTGCAGGATGTAGGGATGCTGTGCCACAGGGGCACTGGGTACCAATGTCAATGGTGGGGAGGTTCTGTGACTCTGCAAAACCCTGCAGCAATGGGAGCAGATGGATGCTCCATGAGCACAATTGCTGGCAAAGCACCAACTGTCCCCTGGCACCCTGCAGGGCCACGAAAGTGTGTGTAGTCCTACTGAGCCACAAAATGCTGCGGTTTTACCCCAGAACTTTAGCAGAAGGCAGCCCTCACTAGGGCTGTGTGGGACTTTGCTCAGCCTGAATTAACATCTAACCTGTTCACCCTGCCTAAGCCTCAGTGCTTGTAGGGCTCTGCATGCAGGAGTGGTTGGGTTTGGGGGAATCATGTTCTCTCCCTGTAGCTGGGCCAGAGTTTTGTGTTTAGCCACTGATCTTTGGAAGTTCCTGAGTTTTATTTCCCATCCAGTGATTTCTAATTGAAGTGGGTAATCGCATTATGCTGTCTCCCCCGGCGAGGTTCACTGAGTCCTTAGCAGTCATCTCTGATTTTACACTGAGCCCCCCAGAACTGTGCTTGGAGTAGCGTTTCTCCTCCCAAAGTTCAAACTGGGGGATGGGTTGGGGAATTGCCCCTCAGACCTCCCCAGGAGGACTAACTTGGCCTCTCTCTGCAGTATGAGTTCAAAGCCAAGAACATCAAGAAGAAGAAGGTGAACCTCGTTGTGTCAGTGGACGGCGTGAAGGTCATTCTGAAGAAGAAGAAGAAGGTAGGCAGCCCCAGACCAAGGTGGCAGTGCTGGGGACCTGCAGGGTGTGCAGTGAGATGAAACCCATGGATTCTCAGGAATCAGGAAGCAGTCTGGCTGTGTGGGACTTTTTGGCTGCACACTGGGCAGGTCATCTGCTGGGGCTGCAGAGCAGAGCAGCAGCAGGACTACAGCAAGCACTGCCCCAGCACTGCCTCTGCCCCATTCTCAATCACGAGGGCAGCATCTGACGTACTCATTTTCAGCTTTTTTCCTTGCAGAAAAAAGAATGGGCCTGGGACGAGAACAAAATGCTCGTCATGCATGATCCCATTTACAGGTAAGATCACTTGGGGGTGGCACAAAGGCTCTGATGTGCCACACCAGCACTCTGAAGCCTGAGCTGGGCCCCGAGCTGTGCAGTGATGGCTGCTGGGTCCGTGCTTGCTGGGATCAGGCACATTCCTGCAGGAAAACCTCTGCTGAGTTCTGCAGGACAGCCGGGCCAGGTGCCACTAAGCCCCTTTTAATGATCCCAATTAGAGCAATAAAGCTGCACCCTGCTGTGGAAGGGAGAGACCCGATGGCGGGGTGGCTCCATGGGCTGGAGCCGGGCTGAGGTGGAGTGGCTGATAGGACTGTCCTGTGGTGACCTCAGAGGGCACAGGGCAGCTGCTCTGGCTTGCTGTGCACTCCCAGCATCCATCCAGCAGGCTGGGCTAGAGGAGACCAGCATATCAAAATGGCACAGAGGTTTTGTTCCTGCGGGTCTCCTGCAACCTGGCACCTCCAGCGCTGCTATGGGGGCTGAGCAGAGAAATCCCTGTGCTGTCTTCATGAAGTGTTTGCTGCTGCTGAGTCAGCAGAGGATTTTTTTTTCACCCTAGGTGGAACCACTGCCAAAAAAGAATTTCTGCTGGGCTTTTGCAGGGCTGTGCTGCAGAGGCTGGGCAGCTGCCAGCACCCAGAGCATGCCCTGTGAGACTCTGGCTGTGGCCTTGCTGGCATCCTGGGCACTGTGGGTAGTGTGTGTTGGAGGCAATGTCCTGCCCTTTCTTTCTGTCCTTGCAGGATATTCTATGTGTCCCATGACTCGCAGGACCTAAAGATCTTCAGCTACATTGCCCGGGATGGGTCTAGCAACGTGTTCAGGTGCAATGTCTTCAAATCCAAGAAGAAGGTGAGGATGCTGGGAACACATCCCAGCAGGGTGGCTGGGCCAGGACCTGGAATTACGATGGTTTGCATTCTGAGCTGCAGTCGCAGTGGCGATGCACAGAAAGCCGGGCAGCTGCTCACCATGGGCTGATGCCTCTGCTGCTCTCCTTCTCCCTGCTGCAGAGCCAAGCCATGCGCATCGTGCGGACAGTGGGACAGGCGTTTGAGGTCTGCCACAAGCTGAGCCTGCAGCACACCCAGCAAAATGCAGACGGGCAGGAGGACGGGGATAGCGAGAGGAACGGGGATGATCTGGATGTCCCAGGTACCGTGCTCGGGTGAAGGGGCCACAGATCATTGCTGAGGTGGCTGGCAGACACCATCTGCAGAGCCTCTGTCTCTCTGTGAAGCTTGCTGCTGGCTGACACCTGCAGGGAACGGATTTGCACGGCAGTCTGTCCTGCAGTGTGGCGGGATCTTGCCCAGCAAGGAACCTTCGCTAGGTGTTAACCTTCATCCTCACAGACATCCCCCGTGCTGGGAGCCCATTAGCAGCGCTCTGGGCTCGGCTGGGTGCCCAAGTGCTCTCCGCTTCACATGCTACAAACACTTCCTCACCGTTGCCAGGAAAGGGGCCAAAGCAGGGACTGTCCCCACGTCCACAAGCTTGTGCTTGGAATTGTAAGAGATGGGAGCGGGTGGCTGTTCTGCAAGAGCTGGCTTGCACACCTGCAGCCTTCTTCAAACTCATTTTAGGGGCCCTTTGGGATGTCAGCAGGTCCTGCTGCCTGCATTCCCTGTCTCCCCATAGGGTGCGGGGTCCTCTGAAGCTGCCTGACCCTGCAGCAGTGCTGTCCTGAGGGGCTGCCGCTGGCCTGAGTGGCTCATTGTTTGTTTTTCCTCTGCACAGTGTCCTGGCCTCGGTATGCAGCTCCCTGGGGATTTCTGAGCATCCGTCCTTTTTGTTTTCCCATAACCTCTTGTTTACCTTCAGCTTTCTGTGTCTCCTGCTCTCAATGGCCAGCCCCAAATCCAGGGCTTTTGGCTGCTGGTCCCTGGGTGTGTTCATCTGTGAGCCCTGCCCCTGGCAGCCACAGAAGCACAGCCATGGAAACATGATGTGCGATTCCCCAGCCTGCAGGGGACATGCACTGCTCTGGGACACAGCATCTGGGGAGCCCTAAGGAGCATTGCGAGGGACTTTGGCTTAAACGGGACATTAATGTGCTTGGGTAGCTCCTGCTGGGGGAAATGCAAGCAAGCGGAGATCAAACGGATGGAGCAGCAGAGGATGGGGGTACAGGGAATGATGGGGGAAATGCAGGGTTCCAGTGCTCACCCCCAGCCATGCCCTGCTGTCCCACAGCCTGCCGCCTCACTGCTGCAGAGCGAGCAGCCACCTCAGCTGAGGAGACTGACATCGATGCTGTGGAGCTGCCGCTGCCCGGGGCTGACATCCTCGACTTCAGCCGCGGCGTCACGGACCTGGATGCTGTGGGCAAGGAGGCGAGCGGTGACACCAAGGTGTGTGGGTCCCTTTGGGAGCCTGGGGGTCAGGAGGGATTTTGCAGCATTCCCGGCCCCCAGATCAAAGCTGTCTGCCGCTGCCCTTTGTCTCGGGGCTGGGCTGCATCTGCAGAGCACCGTTCTGAAGCTCAGCCACATGGAAAGAGTTGGGGCAGAGCTGATAGGGATAATTGTTTTTCTCACATACCTCAAAAAAGGGTTATTTTTCAGACGGTGGAAATTTCCATGGGAAACGGCAGCCTTTTCCAAAACTTACTGCAATAATATTTGTGCTTTTGTCACAAGCCTGGGGGAACACGGGGAGGTCAGCGAGCCCATCAGCCGGCCTCAGGCAAAAATTGTTCTCAGAGCTTTTCAGCAGGCTCCCCCTGCCTCAGCGAAGCGTGATTTGCTTGGAATGCAGCAGCCTTATTCCTGGAAATTTCGGGGACTGCTCTGTGCCTGGCAGCTCTCATGGCTGTGGAGGCACAGGGTTGCCCTTACTGATGTTGGTGTGTTGCAGGGCTGCCTCCACCCTGAAGACATCCTGACCGCTTCACCCAAGATGCTGCTGCCGTCGTCCACCCCGCTGCCCGAGCTGGGCACACCTCTGTCTGCACACCACCAAATGCAGCTCCTGCAGCAGCTCCTGCAGCAGCAGCAGCAGCAGACACAAGTGGCTGTGGCACAGGTTTGTCCCAACACTGTTTTCTGGGGGTGCAACATTGAAGCGTGGGGAGACCCATCATGAAACGTGGCAAAAAGCCAAACTGTGGCACTAATCCTGGCCAACCACAGCCAGCAGCTCAATCTGGCTGAGTATTCCTCATTTCAGCAGCTCTGGCTCCTCCACTTGACCAATGACCATAGCTTTGCTTGTCCCCTGACGCTTCCAGAGCTCTCTCCAATTGTTTGTCTTTCATAGAATGAATAATCACCATCTGCCCATCCCCACTATGCCCACTGACCACATCCCCCAGTGCCACATCTCCTCAACTCTTGAATACCTCCAGGGACAGCGATCCCGCCACTACCCTGAGCAGCCTGTGCCAATGCATCACCACTATTTCAGAAAAGAATGTTTCCTAATATCCAAACTGAGCCTCCCCTGGGGCAGCTTAAGGCCATTCAACTGCTTGCTCAGGAGGTGGCCTGAGCAAGCAGCTCCAGAAGACTTTTTCTGCTTTGCTTTGGGGAGAAAACCCAGGCATCAAAAATCAGTATCAGTATCCTTCTACAAGAGTCGTGGCCTTGGGAAATGGCTCTCCCTTTGAAAGAGGAACCTGCATTTCTGGGGGTCCTCCATTCCTGCCCAAGCAGCAGGATGTTGTTCATACAGGAAAAACCACATCCCTGTGGGACAGAGGTTTGTTACCTTTGGTAGTTCCCAATCTTTGTGGATCTGCAGACTTTTACAGTGCTGATTTCTTTTTCTTCCTACTTCCAGATTTTAAAAAATCTGAAGTAGTGTGTAGATATCTCTTGGCTGGCTTGTGGGATGCCAGTGGCTCATCCTGCTTCCTCCAGGGGCTGACACCCTGCTCTGGAGCTCTGCCCACCTCGGCGTGGTTCTCGTCCCAGAGCTGTCACTTAGCTTCTCTCCAATCCATTCAGTGTGAGCCGTGGTGATTTGGTGTCACACTAATTTATTAATGAAAAAGTTATGTTCTGCTGTGTCAAATGCCCGTTAGATGACTGAACGCATTACATCAACATCTCTGTTGATGGTACTTGCTATCTTCTCTCAAGAAATACCAAGTCATTTTGTCTCTGAACATAGAGACTGGCACAAGCTTAATTCTTTACAAACAAACCAGTAGCTGCACTGTGTCGACCAGGATCTGTGTCAAACTGATGGGTCTGTAGCTGCAGGGACCATTCTGCAATTATCCTTGCCTGTAATTAGCTGGAGATGAAATATCATTTATCTCCCTCACTGACCAGAGAGACTTCTTTTTTAAGGTGTTTCCAGATACCTGTCCCTTGGCTTATGGCCAACTGTCCATCCGAGCATTGTCCCTTGGGACTGGTGGCACAAGGCACTGCTCCTCTGTCAGCTGCAACACATGGGCTTTGCTGGCCTCTTCCCTGCAGCACCTGAGCACCACCCCGAGCCTTGCTGCAGGCTCCTGCGATGCAGAAGGGAAGGATTTTTTCCAGGCTGATGCTGTCAGCACAGAGATTGCGCACCTGCTCAGCATTTAATTGCAATTCCACCACCGCCAGCTGCTGCCTCACCTTGCAGTGCTGTGCAAAGGGCTCCCTTGCATTCCCCACGGTCATTGAGTGTACTCGGACATGATGGTGTGTCTCCTGTCCCACAGGTCCACCTGCTGAAGGACCAGCTGGCTGCAGAGGCGGCGGCACGCCTGGAGGCACAGGCACGTGTGCACCAGCTCCTGCTCCAGAACAAGGACTTGCTGCAGCACATCTCACTCCTGGTCAAGCAGGTGCAGGAGCTGGAGTTGAAGCTGGCGGGGAACAACACCAGTAAGCACTCCTGCCCCATCCTCTCACCTCACAGCTAGCCGGGAACCCACAGCACAAGGGGTGTGTGGCTGGGGACCTTGCTGTGCACCCTGGCTCCAGAGAGACATTGGGCTTGGAGACGTGGCACAGCACAGCACCAGTGCCCCTGTGTGAGGGGGGCTAGTGGTAGGGTCCGTGGGAAACACGTGGGTGTTATACCTCATTTTTTGGTGCATTTCTAATGTTTTCTGGGGAGGTGGCAATATTAGTGCCCTTCTGGCCTGGCTTGTGCATGTGCAGCAGGACACCTGCATGCAGGATGGAGGGAGGTGTGGGGTGGCCACCACACATGTCCATTAGCTGTATGCCTGCTCTCCCCAGTGGCTGCATATCTATGCCAGCTCCCTCCTTGCCATGAGAGACCCACCTTGACCTTCTTTTCCAGTAGATGTGGCCATCAGCTCCCTGCAGGAGCCGGGGGAAGGCAGCTAGCTTTCTATCCTGGCTCTTTGCAGGCCAACAGTTCCTGGTGCCACTGTCATCTGCGGCCACCAGACATGGTTGCTTTGGGATGCCTGGGAGGGACAGGGTGGCACTGCCTGCCTCTCAGCCGTGCCCTTCTCTTGCAGCAGGCTCCCAGGACAGCCTGCTGGAGATCACCTTCCGCTCCAGCGTCCTCCCCGTGCTCTGCGACCCGACCACCCCGCAGCCCGAGGACACCCACCTGCCGCAGCTGGGCCCCGGCTCGGGCTTCCCCAGCACCCTGGGCAGCCCCATAGGTAGGAACGACTGTCTGGTGAAGCTGGAGTGCTACCACTTCCTGCCGAGCTCGGGGTCGCACGCCCCAGAGCCGGCTCTGGGCAGCCTGGAGCTCCTCAAATTCCGTGAGTCGGGCATCGCCTCCGAGTACGAGTCCAACACGGACGAGAGCGAGGAGCGCGACTCCTGGTCCCAGGAGGAACCGCCACGCCTGCTCAACGTCCATCCCCGGCAGGACCTGGGTGACAGTCTGGAGGATGAGATCGCAGTGTAGGGGATGGCAAGAGGTGGCACAGAGCAGCCGGGACCCCCAGGGATGGCGGAGGGAGCGTGGGGCTGGTTGGCAGCAGGGGCCAGAGCTAGGCATGGCGTGTGATGCTGTCGTGCTGGCAGCTCTCTCCCTGGCTTGTGCTGTGCCCAGGACCCTGATGCGTGCAGTCCACAGCAGCTTCAGGGAGGTAGATGTGATGGTACTGCAGTGTCTCAGCTGGAGCAGAGGACAGATCTTCCTTCCCTGCTGCCAGTCATCTTGTCCTGAGTTCAGCCAGCCCTCAGCACCCTCAGCTTCATGCAGGCTTGTGTTGCTCCCTGGTCCTCGTGTCCTCCCAAGCTGCATTTTGAGATCAGAAGTAAGGGAAGCAAAGAACCCTCAGCAGCAGTCTCTGCAGAGCTCCTTGTGCTGCTGGCATTGCTGCCCAGCAACTGTGCTGGGTTAGGAGCCACTGCTAGCAGCGATACTATGAGGGGGAGCATTGAAACTGGAGAAGGTTTTTGCTGGAGGAATGAGAAAGCAGGTATGCAGCAGGGACAGGAGGGACAACAGAGCCAGCATAAGTTGGTTTCCTGCATGATAGAGATGGTGGGAGATGAGACTGGAGCTATGCTACTGGGATGAGAGATGGTGCCCCATCGATGTGGGTGTGTGAGGGGGCAGGAATGCTGGGGAGGAGCTTGGAAAGTTGAGGGGGTAAGAGGAGGTTGCACAGTATGGCCAGGCACGGGCAGCTCCTTGCAGGCACTGGGGTTTGTGGCACTGTGGGGCAGGGCTTGTCCTTGCCTGAAGCAGACAGAGGGTGCTGGGCACTGCCTGCTCCTCTCCTGGGCTGTGAAGTGGATAGGGAGGCACAAATGTGCATGCAGTGAGAGCCAGGGAGCACAGCATAGGGAGGGTAAATTCTCCTTACCCCATTCCCTAGTTCTGAAGCTTTTTGGTACTGCTACCAGGTATCAAAGCCTTTCTGGTGCTCTCAAGTCGTATTTTCAAGCAATTCCCTGCACCACTGCTACTGCCAGTTCCCTGCTTGGCTTTACAGACAAACCATTCCATTTCCATGCAGTTGCTTGCCGCCAGACCACTGCTGGCAATGGCTGTGTGTAGACAGACATGCACAGCCTTTCCATGGGAAGCAAGATCTCCTCCTTCCCTAGCTGCTGCGGGCACAGTGTATGCTCACATTCCCCAGAAGGGGTTATTCTGCAGGTTGACTTGGTGGCTGTGTAGCCCATCATGTGGCTGGGGTAACCCTGCTCCCAGGCAGGGTCTGGATTCATGGTGGTTACTTCAGGGTGTGTGCTGACCCCAGGATGGAGAAGGGGGGCTCTGGACCCCTCTGGAAGGTGACACCAGTCATGAGGAACTGCTGGGAACTGCCTGGTGCAGGGCTCAGTGCCTGCACTGAGCTGGAATGGGAGAGGTGGGCACTCTACAAGGGGAGCTGGTGGGTGGCACAGTGACAAATAACTGTGCACATGGGCACCTTCATGTGTCCAGTTTTCATCTTCAGAAAAGTTAATCCAGAATGTCAGGGCCTCCACCAGCCCCTAGGAGGCTGGCAGATGTTCTTGAGGGAGGCCCTCAAGAGCCAGAGCTTCTCCCTGTTCTGCAGGCACACTTACCAGTTGCCCACTGCTGCAGCCTCTGAGAACGCAGCTGAAGGGGTGAAAACCAGATGTCCCCTCTGCTCCTTATGGAAACATGGGGAGACAGGATTGGCATGATTGTCTTCCACTTCTTCCACCCTCCTGTCCTGCTTCTGCTTTGCTTTGCTGCTTGCCTGCTGCTTTCCCTTTTGCCAGCTGTCTCTGCTTGTTCTGCCTGCATCTAAATCCTGGCTGCGTATCTCCCAGACTCAAGCTCTTGCTCTACTCCAATGTTTGACCCTGCTGTGAGGAAGGTTCATGGTTTCCTCCTGCTCCAGTCCCCTCGGGGCTGAGGAGTAGGGTGTGGGCAAGAACCCAGGGGGAGCAAGGGCTGTGCTGTGCACTGTCCACCCCATGAGGAGGTGGGCAGTGCAGGTAGCAGAGCTGTCAGGAGCTAGAGAGTCGTAGTGGGAAGGAAGGATATGTCCTCTGATGGATCTTGTGTCAGCACCAAGGGGCATGTGGGGAATGTGGAGGTCAAAGGCAGCCTTGGCTGCAGTGACCCTGTGGAATTCTTAAGATTCTTAGATCAGGGAGGGGAGTGAAAATCCCTCTTTGTGGATCTGCTGGAAGAACCCTGTAGATTGTGACCTTTGAGTTAAGAGCAGCCCAATAAAGCTGACTGATACTCAAAGATCACCTCCTCCAAGCTCAAGAGTGGTCCATCCCATCAAACAGAAAGTCAGGCAAAAAAATGGATGAGCAAGGAGCTCTTGGTCAAACTCAGACCCCAAAAAAGAGGCATATAGAGGGTGGGAGCAAGTACAGACAACCTGGGAGGAATAGAAACATTGTCTGAGCATCTCAGGATGAAGTTAGGAAAGCTAAAGACCAGATGGAATCAAATCTACACAGAAATGTCAAAGACAAGAAGGGCTTCTGTAAGTATGTTGGTGACAGAAGGAAGAGTGCAGGTTATCTCTGAGCTGATTCCAGCCTTTGATGCTGTCTCCAAAAGATCCTCATAGACAGGTTCTTGATGTATGGGACGGATGGGCAGACAGTGAGATGGGTTAAAAACTGGCTGAACAGCCAGGCCCAGATGGTAATCATCAGTGCAGACTAGTTGGAGGCCAGCAGCTTGCAGTGTACCCTGGAGGTCAGGGGTGGTACAGTCCCGTTGAACCTCCGCATGGACGATCTGGGTGATGCTGCACTCTCAGCACAACTGCAGACAGCAAACCTGGGAGCAGCGGCTGCTGATCCACCAAAGGGCGGTGCTGCCATCCAGAGGTGGGCTGCTCTCAGAGGTGGGCTGGTGGGAACCTCCTGGAGCTGAGCAAGAAGTGCAGTGTCCTGGCCCTGGGATGAACAAGCCCAGGCATTGGGATATTCCAAAAAGCAGCTTGACAGAGGTGGAGCTGATGGTCCTGGAGGACACCAAGCTGAGCTGAGGCAGCAGGTCGAGGCAGTGATTCTGCCCTTCTGCTCGGCACTGGTGAGGCCATGCTGGGAGCACTGTGGGCTCCCCAGTGCAAGAGGCACATGGAGGAGTCTCTCCTGGAGGAGAGACTGGTGAGAGGTCGTGGCAATGGGGAAGGGACAGGAGCACCTCTGCTGAGAGGCTGAGGGAGCTGGGACTGTTCCTCCTGAAGAAGGCTCAGGGGAATTTATTGATGTGTTTAGATACCTGAAGGGAGGGGTGCAACGAGGACGGAGCCGGGTATTTTTCAGGGGTGCCCAGGGATAAGACAAGAGGCAGTGGAGACAACTGGAACAGGAAGTGCAGTGTGAACACTGGGAAGCACTTGTGTGCTGTGAGGGTGGCTGAGCTCTGGCACAGGCTGCCCAGAAAGGCTGTAGGGTCTCTTTCTTGGGAAGTTTCAAAAGCACCTGGCCATAGGCCTGGGCACCCTGTGCCAGGTGGCTTTGCTGGAACAGGACTTGGACCAGGTGGACCTTCTAATCATTCTGTGATTGTTTCAATGTGCCCACCAGTGGCCTGTTGTCCAGGGAAGCCCCCACACCAGCTCCAGAGGGGATAGAGCAGGAGTGGGTGCAGCACATCCTGGGTATTTCCTGCAGGCAGGGCTCATGGTCAGCACAACCACAGGGAATGGTGAGCTGTGCCCCAGGGCTGACAGGGGTGCTGCAGCCCCCTGTGCCTTGCCAGAGCCAGCGGGGAGCCACCCTGTGCCCTGCTGCACTGAGGCACCACGTGTATGTGTGAGTGGTCCTCCTAACCCAGCACTGCCTACAAAATGCCTCTCTAGCTTCTTACTTTTGTTATGGACCTTGACCGGGGTTTTATAGCTATATTTTTTTGTCCTTTCTTTTCCTATTACTGTCGTGTTACTAACTGTTGACTCGGTCTATCTGAGAAACCAATCTGTCAATGTAAGTGCACTTAACCCTTGGGTGTTGTCATTAGTTGATTGGCTTTTGCTAAATAAATCTTTCTATTTCTCAAGGCTTTCTGTTGTCTCTTCCTTCTTGCTGACTCTCTCTCTTTCTATACTCCTCCTGCCACACTCTGCCAGCCTGGGCTGGCAGCCAGCACCGGGGGTGGCACCCCCAGCATTGCACAGATTCTCTTGGAACTGAGCATCCTCCCCAGCAGGACCCTGCAGCTCTCAGCTGTGCCGACTGCCAGCTGACTGTGAGAGAGGAGTGCCCCAAATGATGTTGGTGTCATCTCAGGGCTGTTCGACAGCTCAAGGGTGCCTGTGGGCTGCTGCGGCTTGCACACCTCTCTGCAGAGATGCTAAGCAGAGCTTTCCAGGCATTGGGAATTTTTGGCCACTGGGGAAGGAAAACAGCCTCTTAAAGGACATGAGAAGCATTGTTTCAACGAGGGGCTGCAGCAGAGCTGTGCCTCCGAGGAGAGCAGCAGGCAGGCTGTGCTCTGCATGGTGTTTATTGTGCAGTAGTGGAGCAATGGAGCAGTGCCCTCCTGCGGCAGTGGCCCAGCTGCTGGAGCTACTCGGGCACCAAAGGGGTTTTGGTCTCTTGTACATTGTGCTCCTTCTCCAACAGGGTCTTGAGCTTGTAGTAATACACCTTGCAGCTGTAGCCCTCCTGGGAGCTGTGCTGGACGTGGTTCTTGACTGAGCACAGCGTGGGGAAGATGCGGCAGCATGACATGCACTTGTAGCCGTGCTTTGGCACATGCTGGTCCTGGGAAGCTGCAAGGATGTCTCCAGTGGTGATAGTGACCCTATTGCTGGCACTCTCCAGGGTCTGGAGCTCCTCTGAAGAGCAGGAGAATGAGGCGAGGGCCTCAGAGAAGTTTTTGGGATCCTCAGGCTCCCAGGTGCTACTGAGTGGACTGGAGGAGAGGTGCTGCTGAGGGGCTGCTTTGGTGCAGATGAAGTAGCTGTACGGTGAGCACCAAGGTCTATAGATAGTGCGGGCAGGGAGCTTGCTGCCCATTGAGGCTGTGGAGCTGCAGTCTGCAGAGGGAAGGGGCAGGAGTGAGTCAGGGTCACAGCGTGAGCACAGGCACCCATGGGGATGGGAGTGGTGCTGGAGACCCACAGAGATTCCCACCCCCAGCACGGTGTTCAGCAGAGCCCTTTGCCCAGGGCTCTGGCTGGTGGTTGGCCTGTCTCACTCTGTGGGTTGTGGAGGTGACTGCTTCTGTCGCCAGATGTCCCACCAGCACTAGAACTCACCCAGCAGCCAGCTGGAACTGTCCCACAAAGAGCTGTGCTGGCATAGGGGCAGCGCTGGGGGCCATGAGCTGGCACAGTTGGAGGCAGCATCCCCAGCTTTCAAGGTTCCTGCTGGGAAAACATAGGGGTGAAAAGCACCATTGTGCAGAGGTGGGCTGCAACAACAGGATTCCCCTCCCCATTCCTAGAAAACACCTTCTACTGTAGGGGCTCCTGTTACTCCTCCCCTGCCCATGCAGGCGGGTACACCCAGCCAGACCCCTCCTTGTTCCCCTGCCTGGATGCATCCTGGGTGCTCACCAGGCAGGCTGCACTGATCCCAGGAGGGGGTTGACTCTAGGTTGCCTCTTCCAGGAGCATAGGGCATGGCCTCAATCAAAATAGCTGGCATGAAAAATCCATCCATCACCCTTGTGCAGGTCCTTTGCTGAGGCCCCAGAATCCACACTGTGTTGTGATACCATCAGCTGGCATCGCTAAGGGCTGATGTCACACATGCATGCAGGACACAGCAGAATGTTTTTGGAACACAAGGTTCTGCCCCCCTCAGAGTCTCTGGGGACGTGGTGGCTGAAGTGACATTTGCTGGCTCCATCCTCAGGACTGGTGGGGAGCAAGGGGCAAGGTGGGGGGACTCAGTCTATTCAAGCTGAGGCCAGTTGAGCATGGGGTGGTGTGGTAATGTGGGATTTTGCACACATATGGCTCCAGCAACTTGGCCTCACAAGGTGAGTGAGCAGTAGAAACTGCCATATTGAGGATGTACAGTTCAGATCCCAGGTGGTGGGTACCCCAGCAAATGAGGGATCCTGGGGGCGTCCCCTTGCTGTACCCCTTGACAAACCTTCTCTCTCTTTCTTTCCACAATCTGCTTCCCAAGCTGCTTGGTGCCAGGTAAGAGATGTCCTCAGTGTGCTGGTGGCAGCAGTGTGGTGCCCTGAGATTGTTGCTCCCCCAACACGTCCTCACGGCATGCACAACACAGCTGTGGGGCTAAAGAAACGGTCTTTCTGTCCCCAGATGGTGTCCTCCCCATGCTGCTGGGAGGCAGCCTTGGGACACTCAGCCCCCTGCATCCCGCCTCATACCCACTCTCTGCTTCCTTTCTTTTCCAGTGGACCAGAGCATGTTTGAGAACACCAGCGCTGCCACGGCACCCACCCCACGCCTGCAGCACGTTCCCGCTGGTGCCTTGCCACAGCCCTCCCGCCCTGCTGGCAGCCAGCACCTTCGCAACCTGGGCAAGGCTGTGGGGGCCAAGATGAACGACCTCCTGCGCCGCAAGGAGCCGGCTGGACCCCCTGACGTGGGAGTGATGGAGGTGAACACCAGCGCTGGCGCCGCGCTGGGCACGGGGCAGCCAGCGAGTGAGGATGGGTGAGTGTCCCTGCACTGCACAACCCACGGTAGAGTCCTTTGGGTTGGAAAGCATCACTGCCTCTCTCTGCTTGCAGGAGCATGGGGCTGGATGCCTTCCCCCGGCTGGATCCCCCACCTCTCATCACCAAGAAGCGGACACCGCGTGCTCTGAAGACCCCGCAGGACATGCTCATCGCGCCTCAGCCAGGGGGCAGCAGCACAGAGGAGCCCCATGAGCCACCTGCAGCACACGCCGACCCCGCGGAGGAGTGGCCAGGGGCGAGGGACCTCTCCCCTTCGGAGCGCCCCGGGGTGCTCAGTACAACCGGCATCCCAGGGCCGAGTGGGGACCAGCCCACTGCTGTCCTCCCCGTGCCCGACCTCATCCATAAGGGTGGCCTGGAGACCCCAACTCACATGGAGAAGCCCCTCCGGGAAGCAGGGCTGGAGCATGAGCTGTCAGGGAGCGCAGGGCATGCAGAGCCATGCACCTCCAGCCGGGAGGCAGAGGGTCCCCATCCTGACCTGCTGTCCTTCGAATAGCAGCAGGCAAAGGGCACTGAGGGGGCTGGCTCTCCCAAACATCTCTCTCTCTGCCACATGCCGTTCTCGGGGTCGTTATTTTGGGGAGAGGAGAGCCCCAGGGCAGCAGGAGGCATCCCTGAAACAGCCTGCGGTGCAGGGATCCTCCACCCCCGACCTCATCCTTCTTCCCAGGCGCCCCGGAGGAGCACAGCCTGACTCGGGCGGCCGCAGGAGCACCAGCTCCCTGCCCACATCTCTGACCCACCACCACCTGTGCTCGCAGGCTCTCAGAGCCCCGAGGTGCCCCTTGGCCGGGGGGGTTGCACAGGAGGGGTTATCCACATGGGGAACCGGGCAAATCAGCGGCCGTGGGCAGCACTTCTGACCTGGAGCACAGCGATGGCTTCGGGGGGGTTGCGGTGAAGGTTACGGTGGGGGTTATGATGGGGGGTTATGATGGGGGTTATGATGGGGGTTATGGGGAGGGTGAGGCCCGAGGCGGGGCAGAGCGATCGCTGTGTCATCCCCCCAGCCACACAGCTGCGTCCCAAACCCCGACCCTGAGGCCAGCGGTGCCGGTGGCGCCCTCTATTTATGTTGTCTGGGGTGTGTGTGTAGTTTGGGATAAAAGATGCGGATTGCACAATAAAGGTTTTTTTTGTAACCCGACACCCAGAGCGCCCGCGCAAACGGGGCGAGGCCGGAAGAGGGGGGCGTGGCCAGAGATGGGCGTGACCATAGGTGGGCGGTGCCTGCATCGCCCCGCCCCACTTCCGGTGTCATGGCGGCCGCAGAGCGGCGGCGGCCGGGCCGGGGTGCGGGCGCGGGGCGGGTGTCGGCGCGGCGGGGCGGCGGTAGCGGCGGGGCGATGTGAGCGGGCGGCGCCATGTCGGGGTGCGTGTGGGGCGCGGCGCCGCCGCTGCTGCTGGAGGCGCTGGGCCGGCTGTGGGAAGTGCAGGCGCCGCTGGGCAGCGGCTCCTCGGCCTCCGTGTACCGGGTGCGCTGCTGCGGGGACCCGCGGGCCCCTCCCGGCGCCGTTAAGGAGTTCGTGCCGCCCCCGGCCCGGCCCGGCCCCGCGCGCCGCCCCGGCGCCCGCCCGCCCGCTGCCGACTGCGCCGAGTACGGCTTCCGCAAGGAGCGCGCCGCGCTCGAGCAGCTCCGCGGGCACCGCAACATCGGTAACGGCCCCCCCCTCCCGCCCTCGGGGCGCTCCGGGTTACGAGGCCTCGGCCCCGCGGGGGCTGCGGCTGCGGGGTGGGCACGGGGGGCGGCCCGGGATGGGATCCCCAGACGGCGGCCTTGCTTCCTGGAGGCTCCCTAGGCCGCCGGGGCGGGAGGTATCGCCTTCACCGGCACGGCTGGTCCCGCCGGCTGCGCCGCACGCAGCGGGGCTGTGGGTGGGCTTCTCCCGAGCTCCGTTCTCTTGTACGGCGCTGCGTGCCGCAGCTCGTTGGGCAGCGGTAGGGAGGAGCAGAATCGCGGTGTAGTTGCTCCTGACCGAGGTTTACAACCTGTCTCGCTGCAGTGACTCTGTATGGCGTGTTCACCAACCACTACTCGGCCAACGGCCCGTCCCGCTGCCTGCTGCTGGAGCTGCTGGACATCAGCGTGTCCGAGCTGTTGCTGCACTCCAGCAACCAGGGCTGCTCCATGTGGATGATCCAGCACTGCGCCCGCGATGTCCTGGAAGCCCTGGCCTTTTTGCACCACAAAGGCTACGTGCACGCAGACCTCAAGCCACGCAACATCCTGTGGAGCGCGGAGGAGGAGTGCTTTAAGCTCATTGACTTTGGACTTAGCTTCAAAGAGGGGAATCAGGTTTGGAATGCTCTGCTCTCTAAAGTAGTTCGCTCTGTCTTGAGCTGTGCGGATCTGTGCCGCTTTCGGCTGCTGGGTGTAGGAGGGGAGGTGGCATGGTCAGAATGGGCTGGTGTTGAGGGTTTCCTGGAAGGCTGAACTGTTGGCTGGGTGAGGAAACAGAAGCCATGATCCCATTCCCTGTGCGTGTCTCTGATTAGCGTCAGTGTCTACACACAGTTGTGGATTCCAGAGTTAATGATACAACTTCCTGGCAAGTTTGCTGGTTTTTATGTGGTCAGACTGGTGGGAGCAGCCAGCTCTGTCGGATCTCCTTTTATCATCTCGTATCGCATGTAGTAGTAATCCGGGCTTTGCTGTCAGCCAGTTGCATCATCCCTAGCAGCGTCCTTGCTCTTGTCTTTACTTTCATCTTATCTTCAGCAGCTTCCCTTTCTGTTATCCTGGATGCTTCTTTCCCACGTCATTGTGCTGACCAAAGCCCTGGCCGTGGGTAGGTGGCGTTTGTTCTTAACCAACATGGTCAGGTCTTTGCCTGCTTTGTGCTGCTTTTCCTCTTTGCTTTCCTTCCCTCGGCTGTCACTTATTTGTTTTGGTGATAGTGGTTTTTGTAAATTTGTTTTTGCCCCTTTTATTCTCTTCAGTGGCCTCTGTTGAAAGCACAGACTGCTTGACAGATAGCCTCAGGAGGTTCTGCAGTTGGCTCGATGGAACTGCTTTTCATCTCTCCTTATAACCTTTTCTGAAGGGGTATCAGGAATGTTTCTCATCAGATAGCCTCATAACAAATGAGCCTTGAATCACAGGGTGGTAGGTGGTGAGTGAGCTGTGACTTCTTTACACACATCCTGCCTTGTCCCTTTCCTTGCCCTCTGAGCATCTCAGAGATTATACATTGGTGTATTTCTTTGGCTGGTCTACCCAGTATTGACAGTTATGCTCACTGATCTGTGAATATCTGAGAACTGCGTGGGTGGCCTGTCTGAATTCTTTGGTACAGCTGATTTGAATGTGTGTGCTTAGCAGCTCCTCCTTGTTGTGTTTGGTTTTTCCCACATTCTTGGCTGAACACCATTTCATGCTGATAATCTGTCGCTATCAGCAGAAACCACTCTTCTGGTGTCCTGTGTCTGATACAGATATATTTTTTTCCTTCAGGTCTGTGTTTTGCTGCTTGCTGAGTGAGTTGCATCCTAATAGTTGACCGTGTTTTGTTTGCTTCTGCCATTCCTTCCAATCTGCTCTCTTTGGGCTGAATTTCTTTCTCTGGTTCTTGGAATTATTCTGGCTGTTCAGATGAACCATCTGACCCTGCTTTGAATATGTACTGGATGTCAGCCTCTAGTCTCTGCCCCTGTTCAGCAGAATATATGCGTGAATTTTTTATCTTAGTCAAGACTGTGTTCCTCCCACTTCTGACAGCTCTGCCAGGGTTATCCTTCCATAATTTTTCTACAGTTACCATTTAACAGGGAATGGCTGTACACAGAGCAAGGTCTCAACCACGTAAATCTATCAGCATACTTCACATGGTAGGAGTGAAATTCCATCTCTCTATTTTTGCCAGTGCCAATGACCACTGTGTTCTCTGCATCTTGAAATGTCCTTTAGTGGGGTTGCTGAACTTCTGCTTTCACCTTGCTAGAGCTTCTGCTCTTTGTTGATCAGAGAGGGGTACCCTACTGTGCAGTTTATCTAACAGGTCGTTTTGGTTTTAATATATCCCCTACATAAGAATTCCCAGTCTTGTGCCTTGTCCAGGAAGTAGTCTCATATTCTTCTGTCATTCCTCGAGTTACAGTAGTGTATTATTGAACAGATATTGGATGGAGGACATGACTAGACAAAGCCATGTCTGTCTGATTTAATGTGGGCTGTGGGCAGGAGCTTGGATGGGAAACTTTCAGAGCTGCCCCCAGCCAGCCCTCGTGTGATTCTGTCATTGTCTTGTTTTAACTAGGCAGTGTGTGGGCATTTTCCTCTGCCAGCCACAGCAGCTGAGCAGGTATTGATTGCTGCAGCACTTCTGACTGCAAGGGGAGAGAAGGAAGAGGTGCGTGGGAAGCAGCTTTGATAATTTCCTCGTCTGGGTGTTAAATGCCTGCTTCATGCTTTTAATATTTCGTTCTGGAGATCATCAGTGCTTAAATAACGAAGGCTGTTACTGATCCTCACTGTTCAGACTGAGCTGTTTGTGCTCTGGTACATGGAGCACATTTTGTGTGTTCCATTCACCCTTATTCTGAAACTTCCAATGTCCTCTGTACATGCAGTGTGACATCCAGATTCTTTCTCCCAGCAGTGCTGTCATTCAGAGAGGTGTTAGTGGGATGGCTTCTGTGTTGCTGAGGGGCATTTTCTCTTCCAGGTAGTCTTTTTGTTTTGTTTTTTTTTTCCCCATCATCAACACAGTGCAGCAAGTTGAGCTGCCTTCTGACCACATAGTACTGACTGTACTATGCTTTTAGTAAATTTAGCAACATTAGCATTTTGGTGACCCATCTGGAAGGGCCTCTGTAAACTGATTTGAGAGCAGAGCAGAGAACCTGTATCTGTGAAATTAATTCATGTGTTTGCTTGGTCTTCTGTAGGATGTGAAATATATTCAAACAGACGGGTATCGGGCTCCAGAGGCAGAACTGCAGAACTGCCTAGCACAGGCAGGGCTCCAGAGTGAGACAGAGTGTACCTCTGCTGTGGATCTGTGGAGTCTGGGAATCGTTTTACTGGAAATGTTCTCAGGAATGAAACTGAAACATACAGTCCAATCTCAGGAATGGAAGGTGAGCAAGAACTGCTGCTGGCTTACACCAAACACGTTATCCTGCTGCTTATTTGTACCTTGGATTTGTAAGGTAGCACCTGGCAACTAGAAAGTATTTCCTTGATGTTTCTATAATCCTGTTGTCCTGGGAATTAAGATTTCAAAGCCTTAAAGACCTGTGGGCACTGTAGGACTGTGTCTGAACACTGTCTGTGTTTAGGCTACTGCAATTGTACAGCTCCAGGATTCTGTGTCTGGAGCCTGTCTCTCCCCACGAGCTGTGAGGTGAAGTTTTCTGGCTGTAGTGTTGCACAGATGGAAGAATGAAATAGCTAGGTAGTGACTGGTTCAGCAGCACCATGCTGCTCAACAGTTATTTGCTGTTTTTACCATGAAGTCTAACTTTGGACCCTTTCTTGTATAACCTACTGTAGGGAGCCCACTTGTGAAGGAGGGTTAGACTAGGCAATCTCCAGAGGTCCCTTCCAGCCCCTATGTTTCTGTGATTCTGTGTTAGCTCTAATTTGGGATTTTTTTCTCCTACGTCTTTATCCTGAGAAGACAAGAGGAAGGCTCTGTATTATGAGCCTTGAGCCTGATTCTATCCTCTCCTTTCTGTGAAATAAATTTGTTTCCTGCTTCCCTTCGCAGTAACAGTATCCTTTCAACATCATAAGGTTCTCAGTAAGAACAAATCTGTGTGCACATGACCTTTCCAGCTTTCATGTGGGCAAATGACTCAATCTGAGGTGAGCTTGCAGCATCAAGGATCTCTCATGTAACACCAGAGTACCAGAGCCCTCCACGTTCAGTTTAGAAAATGATGCCTAGCCCACCTCTCCCAGAACCTAGGTTATTTCAAGCTTTGCACTGCTATTTCCTTTCATCCCTAATTACTGCTGCTGCTTCTTTTCAGACAAACAGTTCTGCCATCATTGATCGCATTTTTGCCAGTGAAGGGGTGGTTAATTCAGCCATTCCAGCTTATCACCTCAGAGACCTTATTAAAAGGTACCTTTACTGCATTTATGAAATGTTGCTTAAAGATGTGCCCTATGAAGTCTTGTATCTCGCTCTTGGCAACTTAAAACCTACTCCCACCACTTTTTTTTTTTTAAATGCCCTTGTCACTGTGCTAGTAACAAGTGCAAGCATTATCTGTGTCAGCACTTCACACCAGTGAGTCTGTATTTGGATAAAACTGGAAAAGTAACAGTACAATGAAAACTTTGCTGCTTTAGGGGAATACTGTCAGAAACAAAAGAGGGGCAGACAGTATTTGAATGTATTTGTGCAACTCTGTGCTGAGAGGTCTGCAGAAGAGATCTTCCTGACTTGTGGCACTTCTTTGAAGCTGCGGAGTGTATGAGGCCACAGCTTGCCAGAGAGCCACTTCTCAAGTTCAGTTAGGGATGCTCTCAGGCAAGCCCTGGGTTATTAGCTGCTTTGAATCCCATTTGTGACAAGATGTGGGAGCTCCTTGGGATGCAGTCATTTTTGTGTGACTCTAGATGGATGTCTGAGACAAGGGTGGAATAGCCTGGAGAGGTGGAGCTGGAACATATAGTGTTCATTGTAAACCTATAAGTGAGCGACTTGACTTGGTGTTGAAAGGCATCTCAGAGCAACACCTCTTGTATTATGCTCTGCAGATGTTCTCAAGGGATCCTTCTGGTGTGATTAAGCTGTGAATTGGAAGATGTGCTCTTGACTGTTTTCTTTATACCATAAGTGCCCTAAAGATAGGATATTCCTCAGTACTGCCTTCCAGCCCAACTTGAATTTGTTGATGAAAGAATGTTGAATGCAAGAGCATAAGGATGTCTTTTCTCTTCCAGCATGCTTCATTGTGACCAAGGCAAGCGAGCCTCTGCTGAAAAGGCTTTGTGCAGCCCGTTCTTCAGCATTCCCTTTGGTAAGCTGTGCATGTTGTCTTTGCTCACATGGTTGTGCATTTGTTTCCTGTCTTGTCCTCATTGCTGCTCCCTGGTTTTGTGGCACTTGTCAGACCTCTGGTACTGCAGCAGGCAGGTCAGAGTGCTGTCCTTGCTCTCAGCACTGCTCTGTCCCTGTGGATGTCTGTGCTGTCACTTTTCCTTCCCAGTAAATTCTGCTCAGATTGAACTGACTGAGAACACACTGATGGCCTTATTCAACCAAGGGGACAGAAATAACCAAGGTACTTGACTGGTATTATGACCATTAAGGTGCTTTTGAAGAGTGTGATGCTATTTATGGTAGGTAGATGGATTTTACTATGCTAACAGATTCCCAGTTCAGAAGCCTGGAATATGAGCAATAGCTGGTGGTTGCATCTGCTGCTGCCTCCTCTCTGCAGGCTGAGCAGTCCCAGTGTGTTCTCATGGTGCTGGAGCCCATCTTGGGCCTGGAAAGCAGGGAGCAAGTCGGGGCCTGCCTTTTATGGTGTCCATGTGGCAGGTCAGGCAGATGTCACCTCTCTTTGATTGGAGATTTCTCTTCAATAGAGAAAAAAGGTGGTGTATCCCCAGGACCCTCCCTGTGTGATTGCAGGCTGTCAGCAAAAGATGGGCTGGGACAGTCCTGTTCAGGCTCATACCCCTCTGCATTTCATGTTCCAAAAGCAATATGGTAGCATTGTTCAGAGCTTGCCTGCTCTCAGGAACACTGGTGAAGAGCTCCACGTCCAGCTTTTCTGCAGCATAAATGAATGCACCCAGCTTCTTGATGGGCTAGCATTTTCCCTTGAATCTGAGCCCTACTTTTCCTAAGCTGCTTGGCGTAGCTTGCAGTGAAAGCAGTTAAATATTGCATGTTCTGAGGTTGCATTTAGATGTTGGGGTCTCTGCTTATTGAGCAAAAGTAACAAACTCATTCCTGTTTTAAAACTTCTCTTGCATTTCAGAAACCGTGACTGTTGTAATCAAAGCCACCTTCCATAAAAGGAGTTGAACCTTTCTGCCAGACTTGCTTTAGAGCAGAGGGAATAGTATACTGGCACTGCTTTCTGGTCTCATTTTGAACACACAGACTTTAAACTGTACCTGTTTGTACTAGGAAGGTGCTTCTGTGGTTAGTGCTACAAGTTCATACAACAGCTTCAATTTTTCTTAGTTGCTGGTCGTCTTCTTTGCCCAGGTTATACGTAAGCATGTCTGCACAAAGAAGCATTTACAGTTGCTTTCCTACGAAGGCAGAATATGATCTGTCGTTACCTTTCACTTGGACACAGCTGTTCTGTTTAGAGCAGACAGCTGAGAATGGCTTTCCTTGTCATTTACAACCAAGTCTTTACTTTCCAGTCCCTCAGCTTCTTTCCTGAGTTGCTTGTAGACTGCAGCATGCTGTGTTGTCAGTGTGGTTGATATCATCTGGGACTGAACAGGAGCATTGCTGCTAGGCAGAAAGTACACCTTAGGACAGAAAGGTATTGCAAGAAATGCATTTGTCAGATGGCTCTGAGTTGTAAGGTTTGTCTCCCTTCTCTTTATTTCTGCTTCTGTAAAGTTGATCACAGGATCTTACAATCATTATGTGGCTCGAACTTCTTAACACTGTTTCATGTAATTAATCATTTTCACTTTTTCTGCTGCAAGATCATGTGCAGGTCTTCAAAATAACATGGTGCATTTGGATTTTGAAGATGTTAAGGGAAGAACTTGAATATAATGTAGAATCAGCTGAGCCTTGTGCCTTAGTATAGCTTAAGAACTGAAGTTATACAAGCTTGTTTCTAGCTTGTCTGGTACCAGTAACAGGAGGAGCAGGTTGCAGAATAGTTCTTTCATCTTCTCTCATTGCTGTATATAAGGGGTAGTTTGCTCAACTATCATAGCCCTTAAGGTCTCATCAAGTTCTAAATCTGAGCTAAGCAGGCACAATGCTAGTCTTAATTGCTGTTAGCTTGGTAATTTCAAAAGCAGTTTCAAGGGCTGGCCTCAGTATAATTGCAGACTGTACTGAATCCTTTGGGAGAATCCATCAGTGCACTGGCAGAGATATGTTGGAAATGGGGAAAATACGTTATCTGTGTAAGTGCAGGTAATAATAGAGTGAAGCAAAACTACTGGAAAGAGCAGGAAGTTCTTGTGTATCATAGGAGCGCATGTTGAGTCAGTTTTGTTTTTGTTCTCCTTTGATTTCTTTTGTTTTCTCTAACTCTGTGGTTGTCAAACAGCTCCCCATATCGAAGATTTGGTGATGCTCCCCACACCTGTGCTGAGGCTGCTGAATGTTCTAAGTGATGCTTCTCTGCAGAGTGAAGAAGAATATGAAGGTTGGTGTGTGTGCTCTGTATTTCTCACATAGCAATGTCATCTTAACTGTTTTGTTTGGATTTGGTGATGAGAGAGCAACCAGAGGAGCAATTAATAGGCACAAGAATAATGAGCTCCTCAGCTGAGCTCTGATACCAAGAGGGTCAGCTGTGCCAAAAAAAAATTGGCTAAGATTTAAAGATTGAAGCAGAATGCAGAGCTTATAGGGAATTCTTAAAGAATCCCAGATTTGAAAAAAAAAAAAAAAAAA